TAGATAGTTAAGTATTATTTTTCCCCAGTAGAATCTGAAGCTTGAAGAGGTGAAGTGATTTTTGTAAGACCACACAGCTCATATGTGGAAAGGCTGGGATTTGAACCCAGGTTGGTCTCACTCCAAAAGCTAGCTTATAACCACTATGCAACATTGCCTCCCCTGTTGCCTGGCTGTGCCAGTCACCAGCTGGTTGACATTGGACAAGCCATGGAATCTCCCAGAACTTTGGGTTTCTCATTTGTCAAACGTAGATGATATCTTACAGGATTTTCCTGAGAATAAGTCTAGATGACATTTATACATGAGTGTTTATATTGTATCTACCAATGGGAAGCTATTGAAGCTTGAGTGGGAATTTTGAAGAGGGAGGTGTTGGGTAGTCATACCGTGCTCATGCTTTCCTGTGGCTCTAAGAGTCACAAAACCACAGGGAACTGTGCGGTGATAAAGAGCAAATGTGGGTCTAGCTCTGAGCCCAGCACTTGGCACAGGCTGGGTGCTCAGTAACTGTTAGCTGAATACATTGATTCAACATCTATGTTTGTTGCTTGCAATTCAGGATGCAGCAAGGTACCTGGTACCTCATCTCAAGACACTCATTTCTAAAGAGAAAGAGACAGAGAAGTACAGCGTCAGCATACCTTGGAGATATTGCAGGTTCCATTCCAGACTGCCACAATAAAGCTAATATCTCAAGAAAGTGAGTCACACAAACTTTTTGATTTCCCAGTGCATATAAAAGTTATGTGTACATTATGCTGTTGTCTATTAAGTGTGCAGCAGCATTGTGTCTAAAAAAACCCCCAACAATGTACATGCCTTAATTAAAGTACTTTATTGATAAAAACAATGTTAACCATCATCTGAACTTGTTGGAAAGGTAGCATTGATAGACTTACATCTACGCAGGGTTGCCACAAACCTTCACCTTCCGAAACACCCAGTGTCTGTGAAGCATAATAAAGCTACACACAATAAAACGAGGTCTGCCTGTAGACAGAAAGTAAAATAGTATACTGTGTGAGTGAGGAGTCAAGAAGACTTCTTGGAAAAGAACTCTAGGGATTGAGTCTTAGAAGATACATGGATGCCCATCATGTAAAGAAAAGAACAAGAAACATGTGCTGGGAACAGTGTGTTCAAAGGCACCTGGACATGAGGGTTGTTGTAAGAAGTACAAATCGTTCTGGGAGAAAAGTTTGTGGTGAGTAGTGAGAGCAGTGAATCTTGCAGCTGTGATCCTAGGTCTTGAGTCTTGAATGCTGTGCTGAGGAATTGAGATTGAGCCCTGAAAGCAATTGCATGGCATCCCTGAAAGATCTGTATTAAAGAAGTGTCATGAACACATTTCTATTTTAGAAAATTCACACTGTTGGGAAATGTGCAGAATGGTTGGAATAGGAAGAGGGTGGATATAAAAGTAAAGTGAAAAGGTTATAACGGTAGCAAAGAAAAACTGGTAGAAGAGATGTTTAGCTCTTACAGCAGGGATGGGGAGGAGGAAATGGATTTCAACTATATTTAGGAGGTAGAATTAATTGGACATAAGGTCAGGTTGGCTACAGAGACAAAAGGCACGAATGCTACCTAAGGTAACTGTCTCGTTTGAACAACTAAATATATGGTGGCTCCATTAATAATATTAGCTACCATTTCTTGAGTATTTATTATGGACCGGGCATACTGCTTTGCATGCATTATTCCATTGCATCTTCATGTCAACTGCAAAGTAGTTATTATCTTCATTTTATGGATGAAGAAAGTGAAGCTTGGAGCAGTTAGGAAGCTTGCCCAGTATCTCATATGGAGTAAGTAGTGGAGTTGAGACTTGAACCCTGTTATCTGTCTCCCAAGCCCATGCCATCAGCCACTGTCATGCACAGACCCTTCCTGTGTTGAGGGACCACAGAAAGAGGGGGTTTGGAGAGGGAAGCGAGGAGACAGTGATCACATGGTGTAAGTGTATTCCCACATAAATCCAACCTGGAAAGTTCTATGTTGAGTTTTGCTTGCATGGAAGCAACATTGCTCTTATCTGGGGCTATTGGTGGGTGGCAGATAGAAAAAGGACCCAAGAAGGGGCCCCATATCAGCTTCTGGCTAGCATCATGGTGCTCTCTCCGGCCTCTTCCAGAATAGCAGTTAATAAAGGAGAGATTAAGAGGATTCCTAAGGCCAGTGTTCCCAGCTTTAGCGAGAATGCCAGCAGAAAGGGGGCTCAGCCTCTGAAGCTACAAGCAGGGAAGCCCAGGGCTCCCTGGGGATGTAGACACAACTCACATCTCATGGTTAAGGACATCACCCTGGCAGGCTCCTTTAAATACTGAACTCACAGCAAGTAAACATGCTCCCACAGTGACCAATACATAAATATTGGTGGAACTGATGCAAATGAAATACAAGTGAGGAGCTGCTAGTTAGTTCTCCTGGCAATCAGCATCCGAGCCAATTCAAGAATGTGTATGAATTCTTGGGGTAGGCAGGTATGATTTCAGATGCCCAAATGGACCCTTCCCCTGTCCCTGCTCTTTCAAAATTCAGCTCTTTAATCGAAAGAAGTGCCCACTGAAAGCCTCGTTAGTCATTTCTCCCTGAAGAATTGGTCTCTTGGGTCCTGTCTTGTGAACACATTTTGAGGATAGGGCAGAAGAGAGCTCAGTGCCTGCCAGCAGGAAAAGAAAGGAAACCTGACTTGGAAATGCAGGAAAATACAAACTATCTAATTAGGGTTAACCTAAAAAATTATGCTAATTTTTTAATTGAGGTAACGCTGGTTAATTACATTATATAAGTTTCAGGTGTACAACATTATAATTTGATATCAGTTTACCCTATAGTGTGCTCACCACCAAAAGTCTAGGTTTTATCCATCACCATACATTTGATCCCCTTTACCTATTTTGTACCCCCTATGCCTTCTCCTCTGGTAACCATTAATCTGTTTTCTGTATCTATGAGTTTTGTTTTGTTTGCTCATTTGTTTCTTTTTTCTTTCATATATGCCACATGAGTGAAATCATATGATTTTTGTCCTTTTCTCTCTGACATTGCACTTAGCATACAACCTCAAGGTCCATTCCTATTGTTGAAAATGGCAACATTTCATCTTTTTTACAGTTGAATAGCAGTCCATTGTGTGTGTGTGTGTGTGTGTGTGTGTGTATGTATCACATCATCACATCTTTATTCATTCATCTGTCAATGTAAGAATGGCTATTATAAAAAAGACAAGAAATAATATTAAATAATAAGTGTTGGAGAGGATGTGGAGAAGAAACCCTCATACACTGTTGGTGGGATTGAAAATTGGTACAGTTACCATGAAAAACAGTATGGAGTTTCCTCAAAATAAATAAATAAATAAATAAAACTACCATATGATCCAGGTATTCCACTTCTGGGTATTTAAACAAAGAGTATAAAAACACTAATTTGAAAAGCTATATGGACCCCTGTATTCATTGCAACATTATTTACAATTGCTGAGATACAGAAGCAACCATTATGCTATTTTTATGCAATTCAGGATAGGTTGCTCAGTAAATTATGGGCTAATAGAAATTTATTTCATGAATTTATTCATCATCCTTTGCCATAACTTAGGTCAATCAGAAAAAGAGAAAAAACTGAGAAGTCACGACTTCTCAGTGCCCTTTTTTGACTGGCATTCAGCACAGTCACTTCTTGGGGAAGGTAATTTAGAATCTACCATTGAGGCTCCATCATCTTTGAAGGTATGCTGTTGTTAAATGGACATATTAGTACTTTTGCTCTCTCATCTTTTGGCGTTTGTGTGTGTGGTGTTGGACAAGATGGGGAATGGAGAGTGTCAAGAATTAATGGGCATCACCCAACAAAATGAATCAGTTGACTGTTTAATAACCATTATTTACCTGGAAGTAAAAATAACGGTGCAGAAGAAAATCATATTGTTATGCATATTGTAATGACTGTCCGGGGCATGAAATGACAAGAATGTGTGCTATGTTCATTTGGCTACTGATTTTCCTATTCTGTGCCCCCAGACACCTCAGGAGAGGTCTCATTCTGTTCTGTTACAAAAGTACCACGGGCTTCTGCTTCAAGAATGAGGGATTCTCCCACCTTGTTGCTTTACTAACCACCTTCCCTCATTCATACACCTGCAGCAAGTCATTCCCTTCCTCCAATCTGAGGAGATCGGCCAAGAGCCTGAACCTTTTGTTGGTATTTCCAGGAGCTGGGACACAGAGAATGAACCAATCAGATTATCAATGTCAGGCCAGATTTGTCCCTCTCCCCCAGTTCTTTTTAATTGGGAAAAATGTTTATTTTAAAATTTAGCAAATATTATACATATTAGACATCTAACAACAATATCTATAAAAGTAATAATCAAAAAGCAGTATTTTTGGCCGGCCGAGTGGCTCAGTTGGTTAAGAGCTCGCTCGAGTTTGAGCTCTGAGCAACAGCGGTTCGATGCCTGGCCCAAGCTGAGCTGCCACTGAGCTGCCAGCAGGTAGCAGGATGGCTCAGCTAAAACAAACAAACAAACAAACAAACAAAACCAGTATTTTTGTTCAAAGTTTGTGGAGAATCAACATAGCTCCTTAAGAGTTATTTTTGTTCAAACTGGGCAGCAGTAGTTAATGATAAAACAACCAGGGCCACAGCCGTGGTATTAAAGGTTAAGTATCCTTCCACTGCCCTCGTTTATTGCTTTTATCATCAGTTGAGCTTTCCATTTCTTCAAAGGCCTTATAGAAATGGCTGGCAGTTTTCACTCATCAAATCAAAGCCTTGTGTTGGAATCATTTCTTTGGTGTAATGCAAGATATGCTGTGAGTAATTGGATCAGATCAGTCATTTCCATAATTAGAACAAGAGCACATCGTCCTGAGGGATGTACTCATACCATGGTCTGAAGTCACACAAAAGCAAATGCACAAAGCCCTCATGTCGTGTGCTCCTGAAATAGCAGCTATTTTTAAAATAAATAAATTTAGTTATTTACTTACCTCTGAGTTTGTCCACTACCCCAGCGAGACAGATTTAAAGCTCTGCTCTACCTTTGGCTTATCTGTGGATGACTAATGAAAAGCAAGTCAGAGCATTTCACTTGAAGTGCAGTGTTTCTCTGTTTGATGGGTGTGTCATAGATACTCACTCCCAGGAGACTTATTCAAAACTTTCCTGGGTTTCTCAAGGGCAGGAGAAAAGCAACACTTAAATGCACGGAGTATTCCCTGTAGAGCTTTATGCAGACGATCACCTTGGTGTGATGTAGTAAATGCCTCATGGGATCCCTGAGATTGTAGGTACCCTAACCCTCATTTTAAAGAAACATGTGCAGCAGGTGCCTTTATCTGAGGCTCTTGGGTGGGGAAGTTTAGATAACACTATGCTCCGTGCTCTGTCACTCGGGGTATACGGGAGCTCACACTACATCAGAGGCCTTCCTCATTCCAGTGTCTTCTGATGGTCTCCCTGCCCTGGTCTCTCTCTTCTCAACGGTCCTCCACACAGTGGTTAGAAGCAAGGTCCTCATACCCTGTCATCATGTTACTTCTTATTTTCTAGCTGATAAAGTTCAAACATCTCAGCTTACCCTTCTTGACAACTGTCCCCATGTCCCAGCAGCCTTGTTTTACATGAGTCCCTTTGGTCCATACCTTTGAATCTGCTGAACTAAGAATCTAGTCCCTTCTCTTCTTTCTCCTCTTGGCCCACATAAGCCCCTCTTGTCGCCTAGTAAAGAAAGCTCTCCGTAGCCAGGCAGTCTTCCCTGGTGATTGATTTCACCTGGTCCAAAACACCCGTCTCAAGTGCATAATCATTTAGACGTTTGAGAAGTTTTTACCGAATTTTGCAACAATATAAAGAGAAAAACTGTAAGAAAATTTCCTCCATAATCTTACCACCCTAACACAACTGTTTAAACTTCACATTTCTTTCTAATTCTTTCTTACCTGAGCATAAACTTTTACAGGGTTGTGATACATACAACTTGAATTCTGTTTTCATTCAACACTGTAACTATTTTTCCATGTCACTGTACTACCTGCATTTTTAATAATAGTAGTATAGTACTTTATCTATGGGCAGTGAGTGATGGGAGAGAGAGTAGGGTTTGTAGCCAGCCGAAGGGTAACTTTGGGCAAGGCATATAAACCCTTTGAGCCTCAGTTTGTTCAGCTGTGAAATGGGGATAATAAATGTATGTGAAGCATATTGTACAGTGCCTGGCATTTGACAAACACTTCCTGTGATTTATTACCCACTTTGAGACATATGAGCTTGCTTTTATGGTTTGTTACTTTGAAAATTTTTGTGGCTGTTTCCTGGGCAGTTCCCAGACAATTGTTAAGTTTGTCTAGAGTAAAGATGAAACTTTTATTTTGTATAACTTTCTAAGTCTTCTGTTAACAGATGTCTGCCTCAATGGACTCTCGTCCATTGAGAAACCAGTCACTAGCTTTTGATGTTCTAAGACCTCTAAACTTAGTTATAAGTTGCCAAGACAGAAAAAGAAGCTTCCGTGAGATCCTTTTATTTCCTACATCATTTCTATACCCCTCTAGCTGAGAAAGCTGAGTTCAACCAGTTCTCCATGTTTCCACCTCAGAAACTTAACTCTAAAATCTAGGCCATTTCTGGCAAGCAGCTTATACTTCATCTGAAAGATGTGTGTTCACTGCTGGGTATATCTTGCTCAGAACATTCTAATTTTTTTTTTATGGGTTAAAGAGAGGGATGAACAGAGTGAAAGGTGGTCAGCAGCTCTGACACTTATTTCACTGTTTTTTAATTTTATTTTTTTATATTAGTTCAGGTGTACATAACATAATGATTAGACATTTATACCCCTCATGAAGTGATAACACCCCCAAGTCCACTACCCCTCTGACATCATATATAGTTATTACAGGTGCCAGATGGGTACTGGGCTTATCGGGGGGATCACTTCATAGATTGCGTAGATGCCTGAACACTGCGCTGTACACCTGAAGCTGATGTAGAATCATATTGAATGAAGACACTTATTTTTAATGTGATGGTGGGGTGGAGGAGCAGAGACCTGGCCCCTCCTTTTATTCTTCTCATTTATACATGGCTTCCTGACAGCCAATCACCAATTTTTTAGTTTGACCCCTTTCCTTCTTGAGAAAGATGCATCGGCTTAAAGCTAATATTTTCATAACAAGTTTAGGAGATTCAGGTTGGAGTTTACATTACGGAATGACTACCTACCCACGTATTCTGGTAATTCTTTTTCCTGAAGTAACTTGTCATTTTACAGCTAAGCTGTTCCCCCACTTTACAAAATGAGGAATAATCACTGCACTCCATGTATTTCATGGACCCAGTAGATAATGCCTGCTGAGAAAAGTGCTTTTAAAAATTCTAGTGTTCCTTTTGTTTCATCTGTTTACATATCTTAACAACTATATGCGATTTTCCATGTTCTCAGTTTTGTCTAGTAGTAAAACACTTGTTCTCTAACAAATTTTGATGGCAGTTGCCCCAAAGATTACTGTTTTGTCTTTCTTTTAAATTAAATTTATTGGGTGACATTAGTTAATAAAATTACATCGGTTTCAAGTGTACAATTCTATAACACATCATCTATATATTGTGTTGTGTGTTTACCACCCAAAGTCAAATCTCCTTCCGTCACTATATATTTGATCCCCTTTACCCTTTTCTACCTCCCCCCTCCCCCTTTCCCCTCTGGTAACCACTAAACCTGTCTCTGTGAGTTTTTGCCTTTTTTGTTTGTTACTTTCAGTTTTATATCCCACATATCAGTGAAATCATATGGTTCTTGATTTTTTCTGTCTGACTTATTTCACATAGCATGATAATCTCAAGATCCACCCATGTTATCACAAATGGCAGTATTTCATCTTTTCTTATGGCCGAGCAATATTCCATTGTATATGTACCACATCTTTATCAGTCATCTATCAAAGGACACTTTGGTTGTTTCCAGGTCTTGGCCACCGTGAATAGTGCTGCAGTGAACATGGGGGTACATATATCTTTACAGATAAATATGTTCAGATTTTTTGGGTAGATACCCAGAAGAAGGATTCCTGGATTGTATGGTGATTATATTCTTAAATTTGGGGAACCTCTGTGCTGTTTTCCATAGGGGCTGTACCAATGGACATTCCCACCGGAAGTGCATGAGGCCTCCTTTTTCTCCACAACCTTTCCAACACTTGCTTTTACTTGTCTTGTTGTTAATAGCCATTCTAACAGGTGTGAGGTGGTATCTCTTTGTGGTTTTGATTTGTATTTTCCTAATAGCTAGTGAAGTTGAGCATTTTTTTATCTGTTGGCCATTTGTATGTCTTCTTGGGAGAAATGTCTGTTCAGGTTCTCTGCCCATTTTTTAAATTGGATTGTTTTTTTGTTGTTGAGATATATACATATACATATACACACACACACACACATATATATATATACATATATATATACATATATATGTATATATATATACCTATATGTATCAGAGGAGTTTGTTTGCAAATATCTTCTATTCAGGTGGTTGCCTCTTTTTTTGGTGACATTTTCTTTTACTGTGCAGAAGCTTTTTAGTTTTATATAGTCCCATTCATTTGTTTTTGCTTTTATTTCCCTTGCCTTTGAGGTCAAAATCATAAAATTCTCTCTGAGACCAAGGTCTGTAAGTTTTATATCCAAGATTTCTTCTATGCAATTTATTGTTTCAGGTCTTATATTTAGGCCTTTGATCAATTTTGAGTTAATTTTTGTGTATGGTGACAGACAGCAGTCTAGTTTCATTCTTTTGCACATGGCTTTCCTATTTTCCTAGCACCATTTCTTGAAGAGGTTTTCTTTTCTCCATTGTATGTTTTTGGCTCCTTTGTCAAAAATTATCTGCCCATATAATGTGGGTTTATTTCTGGGTTCTCAATTCTATTCCATTGCTCTGTGCACCTGCTTTTCTGCCAACACCATGCTATAAAACTACAAGACATTACTAAATGAAATTGAAGAGGACCCTCCAAAATGGAAAGATATTCCGTGTTCATGGATTGGAAGAATAACACCATTAAAATGGCCATATTGCCCAAAGCAATGTACAGATTTAATGCAATCCCCATCAAAATCCCAATGGCATTTTTTAAAGAAATAGAACAAAAAAATCATCAGATTTGTATGGAATCACAAAAGACCCTGGATAGCCAAAGCAATCCTGTTTCGTCTTGTAAGCAGTATCAAGCTTATCAACAGTTAGTCATGTTTGTAGTAATTTTTTATCTCAACATGGATACTTTAAGTTCAAAAAGTAGTGTCTGCACTAATTTTCAAGTCAAGTGAGGAGGCTCATTGCTGGTAATTGCTTAATCTTCATCCCCAAAAGAACCTTTCTGCCATAAAAAATAGTCAGAAAGCAATCTCCACACCAACTTGCCTGAACATGCCTCCTTTCTTTGTTTACTTTTTCTTCTGCTGTTGAAATCTTCTGGCACAGGGCTGACGCCCGGGAAGCAGCATGACTTGAGATGAAAAGATTGTAGTCAGCAACACACCTTCTGTAGATCCATTTCTAGCCTCCAAATCATGTGGCGATAGAACGTGGCCAATTCAGGTCTGGCTTTTCCACATCACTTTAGACTAATGCCACCACTTCACATGGTGTTACCGAATTTTAGGAGAAAGTCTTCCTTCAGGCTAGAACTTCTATCTAACCTATGTACAGCTTATTCTGTAGTAATAATGGGAGAAGACATTTTGCTATAGCATAAGGAACTGAGTCTCTTGTTTTTAAAAAGTAATTAGACAATAACTTTTTTTTAAAAAACCCCATTAGATCAAGTTTCTCATTGAAAGGAACTGAAAGTTGTGTTTTGCTTTGTTTTGAATGTGACTCCCACTAGGAGTTACCAGGTGGAATTTATTCTTTGGGTATGAAAAGGATAAAATCACTTGAAGAACATGTGAAAGGACAGAGATACATTTTGAACATGCTGTCTAAATTGTTGAACCCCCAAAACACAGTTTTCGATGTGGCTCAAAAGACCTAAGGTATGAATGAGAGGTAGCAT